ATTATAAAAAAATTTATGTGACATTACAAATACTATTTGACATGTTTAAGAATAATAACAAGTCTACCATAACGCTTCTTGCGAAATCTCACTGTCACCAAACAAGTCTACCATTATTGTATACAAGAATACAAGTATATCGTCATTCGATATAGCCAAAGAAGTCTACCGTACACATCGAAAAAGAAACAAGTCTATCATCATAACACAAAGTGTATCATCATTTAATTAGCCAAACAAGTCTACCATCCAAATCGAAAGAAGTCTATCATCATCCAATAAAAAAAAACAAGTATATCATCATAACATAAAGTCTATCGTAACTCAATATAGCCAAACAAGTCTACCAAATTCATCGAAGACCCAACAAGTCTACCAATGTCAACAAGTCTACCAACTGAAGGTTGTTTTAGTAAAGAGTTGAAAATTTGAATAATTCTACCAAGGGAAGTAATAAGTCTACTACATATTATAAATCTACCACTAATATATATAAGTCTACGATAGTGAACCATCAATAAGTCTACCGATCACAAAATTAAGTCTACCAACCAGGAATTTAAGTCTACCATCGAAGAATTTAAATCTACCACGAGTAATTAGTCTACCATCATATACAAATAAATCTACCACTCAATAATAAGTCTACCGAGATAAATCTACCATTCGACTACTAAGTCTATCACTCAAAAACAAATCAACCACTATTGGCGTTAACTCTACCACGCAAAATTTAAGTCTACCATTCAAATATTAATTCTATTGTTCGTCTACCATCACATAAATTAAGTCTACCAACCACTTAATAAATCTATCGATCATATAATAAATCTACCATCACATAAATGGTAGGCATATTGGCTTTTGGCGGGAAACTCTTTGCCTACGTGTCCTGTCTCATTAATGGCATATACGTTTTATGTTTTCAAAGCAAATAAGAGTAAAACGGGTACAGCAGGTTGTTTGAGTAATATTCAAAAATGAGCATCATTTTGTTCAAAAACTAACTTTCCAAAGTTGTTTTAGTAAACCTCCTTTTATAAATGAAATCATGCCAAAAGTATTCACTCAAACCCTTTCATTTCGTCAGATGAAAAAGCCATATATTTCAACATTTTTTTTCTTTTCACATTACACATTCTTATAATCCATTTCCAAAAAATAATAATTTAAATGTCATATAATTCTCAAAAATTATCTCTTCCATGGTGCTCTAGTTATCCAGAGCTGTCTTTAGACCCAAACTAAAAAATTTGGTCTTATGGCCACAACTCTTTTATAGATTTTAA